CCCCACCAACATTTGTCATCTTTTTCTCGAATTTCTGGAATAAGCTCTCAGCCTAATAGGCTTACGACAGCTTAATTTTTTTCGGATGCAAACAAGAATCCAAATATCAAAATGAAACTATAACTATCTGTAATTTCATTTTATTACTAAAGAATATTATTTATTTTTGATCTTTATACTGACATATATTACTTTTAATTAAAGCATTCTAGCTCTTTTGATTAAAAATACTGCTTAAATTTTAATAATATTATTCTGGCCTTTGATATTTAGTACAGTAAAAAGCATTTTGTACGAAGCATCATGAAAATTTGTTAAATGATATTTTACCTATCATTATGATTTGGGTTTTAATAGAAAATATTTTTGCTGTAAAAGTCTGTTCATGTGTAGAAATTGTAAATTTGGGAGTTTCTGCAGAATTTATTTTCAGATAATTTTATTCTATTTCTATTTCTTTTCCTTTTCTTTTCTGTTTGCTTTTTTCCTCTTTTTAAACTTTTCATTCTTTATATCGCTCTATCGTTTTCCAACAGTGAACTTTGTTCCAGTGCAGAATGTTTAGCGAATTTAATGAGACGTTCTAGTGGTTGGTATTCTGCTACTTTGGATCTCATTCAAGTCACAGATATGAGTTCTTCACCACATATATATTTTTTTTATTTCCAATGGCTTGGAAAATGTTAAAAAGAACTAAAATCTTCCAAACAGAACAATAGAACCGAAGTCATTGCCTAAGGCTCTTGCCTCCCAGTATCTCGACCTCTTCGTAGGACCACGAAGAGCCCCACATCGAAGCAGGTTGTTCCTGTCCATTTCTTCTCCAGAATTACAAAAGTGGACAAATAAGATCATTTGAAATGCTTGTGCAGTGCAAGTCTTCACCAAATAGGGATATTTGTTCTTCATTTGTAGTAAATGAATCCAACAACGCTCTCAATAGTGCGTGCCCTCAGCAAGATCTTAGTTAATAGAACTTTGTGTGCCCCAAATTGACAAAACTTGATTAGTACTCTACATGAGATTATCGTGAATTTGGATATCATTTCTAATGGAATTAGATTTTATTCAAGCACACTTGGGTACTAATCAGCTGAAATGGAGAATACTTTAAACATGATGTGAGCTCGGACGTGAAGGCTAACACACATTTCCATGCCATGTGCTTCACGGCTAGGCTTAAGGATGATAAACCAGGATTACACAAGATAAGTGCAAGCTTCTTACACAACATCCTTGAAGACAGTTGTACTGAACGATTCTGGTCTTAGTAAAATGTCTAATTATATTGTCACCAAAGGCAAAAACTCTAGTAAATTTTTAAATTGGTGCTAGAAATATTCTTGTGAGTATGGGGAATGATTGTTTTGTTTATCCTAAAACTCCTGCGCATCCGGCCAAACTGCTTAAAGCTTTGTAGTGATGTCCCAATAGTTAACAAATTTGATAAAAGTGATTTACAATGATGAAATGGATACTGAAATCCAAGTTTTGCTTACACAGGTACTGGAGCCCCCCAAAAAACAACAATGGTTAGACAAACTGTCATTTTTCTCTGAACTTCTGGAAAATTTCCAAAAATTATGCCAACATTGATATTTAGGAAAGAGTGAATAAAGAAGTTCCAAAGATCCCTCCCATAGATGAGACAGGGCATGGCTGTATTGCCAACTATCTCAACTCTACGGGGATACAGACCTATGTCATGTCTAAGCATCATGAAAACTCTATAAAATTAGCTAGGAAGGGATTGCCTTCTTCGCCCAAATGATGACATAAGACACCATGACTAAAAAAGGCCTTCGATTTCTTCAAAATTTATAATATGTGCAAAGCGAAAACGAGAGTGCCCATGCCTGTCTTTCAAATCCAACCCGCAAACGCCCCATATGTTAGCAAAATGTATGAAATATAGGCCTGCAGTTCACCATTGTAGTCATTATTGTTCATGGCATATTTAATACGCCCACAGCATTCATCAAGATATTTAATGAGATACCATATGCAATAAAAAGTGATCTTTATTTCCGGATTTCAAACGTTTATCCTTCCACAAACGGGACTCTGCAATTCTTCTAATTTCTCTTTAGGGTTGTGGTATTCACAGGCAACAACGCGGGAGGAGAGGCCTGCTCCACCATTGGTTCCATATCTCATCACCATAGACATTATTGATTTACTCCATTTTAAAATATCAGTCATCCCATACATCCCATACGTGCTGTGGTCAATGCTCCCAGGTATGTCAAATGCTTTGGGGCACAAAAAAGTTTGTATTGTTACCAGGGCAAACATGTAACTAAAATTAGTACTATGATTGGGGGTAACATATTGCTAAATGTAGATGTTGTTCCAAACCAGGACCAAACAGGCTACAAGACCAATCCCAGACTATCAAGGCTCGAAAATCTCATCTCAGCAACTCTCGAGGTACAATACCTTCGACTAATTCTACCAACAACTCAAAAACCTGTTTTAGATTGTAGAGACATTAGGTTATTTCGGAAGCAGGCACGATGTGAAAATGAGCAACACCTTCGCCGGGAATCGAACCACAGATCTCTGCAATACGCGCCCAGCGTGCAGACCACCACACCACGAAGGCTCTCAAAGGCGGGAGAAATACTTTATATATTCTTCCTTTTAAAGGGCGACTGGAGTTTTTAGGGGACCCAATCGCCAATCTGCTAATCCTGGGTGTGGAGAATGATAATCCACCACCTTTTTAGTTCGGGCGCCACTGTAGAAACATTAGGTATTTTGGAAGCTGGCAAGATGAAAAATGAGCAACGCCTTCACCAGGAATCGAACCACGGACTTGTGGAATTCGCACTCAACGTGCAGACTTCACCACAAAGGCATGCTAGGAAGGCGGGAGAAATACCTTATAAGATATACAAATACTCACCTATATAACAATTAAAGAGTTAAAATAATTCTTTCATGCTATATCTCTGTTCGGTATAACAGCCCGTATGCCGGAAATTCAGGCTACGGCAAACGCTGTTATTTATTATTTATTGCGTTTTTCATTTATTGATAAACCGTTTATACTGTTTTCTGTAATCGAAGATATAGTCAGTTCTGAAAATTATGTAATCGTTCAGATTCTTTGTGCTCTGTTACCTGGAATACAAATGGTTGTCACGAAATGAAATAAACTTCGTGACTTTGTGAATGAATACAACCCTGGTATATTTTTCCTACAAGAGCACAAGCTCAATCAGGGACAAAAATCAGTATTTTCAATTAAAAAAAACTATCATTCCTACTTATTATAAACTCCTACTTCCTTAGGTAGAAAATTCGTCTTTAGCAACACGAATGTTAACTTTTCGTAGCGGACGTTTTTAACCGTGTACCGAAGGGGTGATTTCTCGAACCCAAATTATTCAACATTTACGTGAAGAACATTTCCGCAGTTACCCAAAACTACTTTTGTACTTTATGCCGAAAACGCAGCGATCCTCTTACAAAATGTTTTCTTCGAATTATCTATCTCGGTGTGATTTCGACCAGCAACTACCATTGATTCCCCACATACATTCTATGATTCAGAAGTTTCAGATACGCAAAGCAAAATTCTGGTCCTAATTGCTCAAAACAGCGTTCTGTCTGTAGATTTTAAGTTACTCATTTACAAAACCGTATGAGACCCATGCCCTTCTATGTTGTCTTTTCTAAGCTCATTCCTGTAGGCCGAAAAAAAAAAAAAAAAAAAAAGCCTGTGCTAAGTCCTAAACAGTCCAGAAAAAGTAGAATCAACTAGGAACTTAAATTGATACAATTTCGTTCTTAGGTATTATATTCACTTGAGGTTCAATTTTCATGTAAACCTGAGCAATAATAATAATAGCATAATACTCATCTATAATTATGACTATAATGCTCCTGCTAATAATAAACATCTCGTGACCCTCTTTAACCCTTAGAAAACCGAAACCTTCTCTAACCTGCATGCTTAAAATACCGAAACGCCCGAAATGCCTTTCGAGATTCACAGCAATTTCCTCCCCTCCCCGTCCATTAACGCACAAAGAAGTGTAAAGATTTCAAATGTCACGAGCAGCCTAAAGATAAGAAACCACAAATAAATCCTTTTAGAACAAGGTCTGCAAGAAATTGATGACAATTCATTTGGGGAAACTGCACCCGCTATAGCATACCTTAGGAGAAGGGAAGAGAACAACACCGTAATCTCGGTTGTGTTCGTTTGGATGAAAGACCGTCTCGGGTGTTGTGGCTTTCAAAGGGTTAAAAGACAAATACTGTAACCGCATTGTCTGCCTGTGTCAACATTCACTTCTGTTAATAAGTATTCATGCAAATTTTATTTATATATAATTATTATTTTGCTTGCAGTTAATTAGTATTTAGTTGTAGTATTTCCTTATATTTTGTCTTTTGTACATGATTGTGTATTTGTTAACTAATTTGATCATAAATGCAAATACATATTTTATGTACTTTCATGTACTACTGATTTCACGAAATTTTTGAACTGAACTCTGTATGAACTTTGCAAAAAATTTTGTGTAATTTTCTCTCTGTAAAAAAATTTCGTAATTTTTTCCCTGCAAACTGACAGCTCAAACAGCTAGCGAAAATCATAGACCAAAATTATATTTTTCAACGTTTTTTCCACAAGTTACTCCTGAACAATGTAATAGTTCGAAATTTTCTATGAGCTTCGATCGTGGTTTGACATCATGTACGAGTGCTCCGGTGTCTACGCCAGTATACCGTCTAGATTCACTCTAATTTACTGCTTCTTATTCATACAGATACGTTTGTCTTACCTGCGTTTGTAGTGTTGCCCAAATCCCAGTATTCCTCATATTATTATATTTAAACCTTGATCGTGATCTTTTATGTGATGCAAAATCAATAAAGCTACGTAATAATCAACAAGCTTTTCAACATATCCAATCTATATGGTAAAAGAATACAGAATAAGTAACAAACATATTCATAATGTGGAGCATAATTGCGGTACTTACTGTAGTTTTGTACGTTGAAGGTGGGCCACATGTTACCAATTTGTACTTCATTTCGCTTAAATTTAGATTTTTCTTCTTAGCCAATAATTCTAGAAATTTCTCATAGGATTGAATATTCAGAGACTTTTTAAATCTGAAATTGAAATTTATTTTATCAAAAGTTCCATTTAAAAAGTTTTATGCATATATTCCATATGTAACTAGCTATACAAATGTATGTGCGTATATATATATACATATTTATTTAAATATAGTGTCACAAAATGTTTTTTAAAACAAAAATATCCCAAAATTATTTTCGCGTAAAATGCTGCTGAAAGGCTAATCAATTATAGACAGTATACATATTATGCACAGAGAGAAAAGAGAAAAGTTATTTTAAATGTTATTAGATTTTTAAATGAACTTTCCAAGGACAAATACCAAAGTTGTGATTATTTATGATTATTTCTGGAGAGATAGCGAATGATATAAGATTTCATGTAATTGTTTGTGACTTCTGATTTATAAATTAAGTATATTTAGGATTTGATTACTAAATATTAGTTTATAGTTTGTATGGATTTATTTAGTTTTACTAAGAGTTAATTTTTACTTAAGGAACTTGTAGAGTTGCGCGCCTCCAACCTGCACGCAACAAAGTGGTGACTGCTGAAACTGGAATTTAGACAGAGTCTTGCTAAGGGTTTAAGTCCCTTTTTATTCAACTTAAGAAATTACAATTGCGTGCTCTTGATGCTCACAAACTACGCCGACCCGGCGGTTAAAATAAAAATAAGAACCTGAAAAAAAATAATAACAAGATTCTAACTACGATGCTCTCTAAACGTAACTGACCTCACCGCGTGCTACAATACCGCTGATAATTCAGCAAACGTTGAATATCACGTTGAACGATTAACAATTCTCCGAGGCAAGCACACAGGCCGAAACGCGGGGTTCTTCAATTTCTGGCTAACTACCTCCGCGCTCGTGAAGTAAGAACAGCACACCTCGAACTCGTTTCCATTCTATTTAACTCAGAATACTTCCGCTGATAATTTGTCTTGAACAGCAGGTAACAATCTTGGTAAGATTATTTCAATAATCTCCGCGTCGGGTTTCTTCCCACACAGCATATCCGTCAGCTTAATTTTTCGCAAAATAAAGTCCGTCAACTCTTCTATATCCCGTTGATAGAAACTATATAGTTCGGCTTCTAGCCTTGCTCGATCTTTCACTATGGGGAAGGTCTTTAATAACGATTTTTTGAAATTTTCAAATGTATATATCTAGCTTCCAAATTCCCCTAATAAAAATTTGCCTATATTCTTCCACCATAGCGCGGCCTGTCTTCTTAGTGCAGATGTGGCGATGGCAACTTTTTGTCTTTCAGGCACAGGGTAGAGCTGAAAGTGATTTTCTAGGCCTTCTAGAAATATCGCCACCGAATTTTTTCCGTCGAAATTGACGTTTGGCTTGATTGACGCTCTCAAAGTCTGGACCAGGTATCCAAATCCTTCCATATGGCTTGCCATTTCTTGGTGTTGTCCCGCGGCTTCCATCCGATTTTCGGCCATTTCAGTTCGACAAGTGTTCGGGCGCCAACGTAGAGTTGCGCGCCTCCAACCTGCACGCAACAAAGTGGTGACTGCTGAAAACTGGAAATTAGACAGAGTCTTGCTAAGGGTTTAAGTCCCTTTTTATACAACTTTAGAAATTACAAATGCGTGCTCTTGACGCACAAACTCACAAACTACGCCGACCCGGCGGTAAAATAAAAATAAGAAACTAAAAAGAGATACTAACAAGTGATTAACTACGAGGCTCTCTAAACGTAAGTAACCTCACCGCGTTCTAAAATACCGCTGATAATTCAGCAAACTTCTGAATATTACGTTGAAAGACTGACAATCTGCCGAGGCAAGCACACAGGCCGAAACGCGTGGTTCTTTAATTTCTAACTAGCCACCTCCACGCTCATGAAGGAAGAAAGCACACCTTCGAACTCGTTTCCCTTCTATTTAACTCAGATTACTTCCGCTGACAATTTGAATCCTTGCGCGTTCTACTAAAATTTACATACTCTGGCATTGGCAGCTCCAGGGGAAAGTAAGGCTTGACAGGAAAGATAGTTTAAACTTAAAATAAATGTTAGTTAATATAAATATAAACCCTACATTTTCAGCTGCCAGAATTTGGAAAACTTGGAAGCAGGTCCTCACAAACGACCTGTTGTAAGGTTTCTACAATTCTGAACTAACTCTTAAGAGCCTCGTTTACACACAAAAAAAAATCTTATGTAACAAAAGGTATACTAAATTTCTGTAGATACTTATATAAATCTCTCTTCTTACAGCAACTTTTCCTGGACTTCAGCAATCAATCTTGTTCTTTTCCTTCCAGCATCTGGAAGGAATAAGTATCAGTATCTTTCTAAATACATAATAATTTACACTTTCTTGACACTGAATAAATTTCTGTTTTTAAACAATTCGTTTTCCTTAGTTACTGCTTAATTCACATTCATTCAATTATTCAAACATTAATTTAACTTTACCCTGGCTCTCCACCATGTGTGGTGTCAAACGGGAATATTCGTGTTTTAGTCTTACAACACTTCTCCTAACCACCATGATTTGTTAGAGTTCAACGACGAAATAGACACACCTTACTCGACATTCTACAACTCGATGAGCCCACTTTAACATTCTTAAAAATTCAAGTGTAGGTGGAGAACCCTACAAAACACATTCATTCTAACTTCCCCCTCATTCATCTTTAGACATGCAGGCTTTCGCTCTAAAGCATGATTTTATCTACAGTTTAATACTTAAATTCGAATTCATTGCTTTTAAGCATTTACTTTTAGCATCTAAAATTTTATGCTTCTAGACTAAATTCTACTTTTACATACCTTTCAAGTATTTACGTATATTTAAAAAATTTTAATACATATGATTTTTACAATTTACCATAAAATGAATAAGAGAAAATAAATTTTTACTTTACTCATTCTTCGCCAAGCTGGCGGTACTGAAACTAATATTCTTATTAATACAAGAATACGAAGTTATTTTTATCTTCGGCCAAATTTTGGCTTTAACATAACATAATTAGTCTTTCGATCAACAGAAAATGCTTGTTCTTAGATTTTATACTTAAAGGAAATAATACTTTTGCCTTAGCTAAATAAAGTAAAACAAAACTAAGTCTCAACCGAGACATATTGACTTTCGTCAAAACATAGAACTTCGTACTTACGGATAACATTTCGGAACAACAAAAAAAAAAATTATAGAACATTTTAACTTATCTTTGAGTTTTCGATGATTGAAACTCCGTCATTCTTCTCTGGCAAAACTGTTCCCACGTTATAGGTTTCATGGACGTCAATCTTCTCCTTACTGACCTCCGAGTGTCGTCCACATTAGTTTTTCTTTTGCGTCCTCTGCATGCTGGCCTCTTGGCGTAGCAATCGTCGGGTTGCTGTCTTTTTCGTTTTTACCCTGGACGGCTGGTCTTGGCGTCCTCCGGTCTGGTGTCATTCTTGAATTTCTTCTGTTGGTGGTGGTCTTTTCGTTCCTCCTGCTGTCTTTTTAGTTTCCGGAACGGCGGCCTTGTTTGCCCCTGACTCTCTGGCCCTGGGAGCGTTCTCTTTGATGTATAATTTCTACTGCGATACGTTGTAAGTGGTGTTTTCCTCTTTACCAAGGTTTCTTTTCGCGGTGGCTTTGCATTCTTGTTTTTCTTAAATGCTGGAGTCTGAAAATTTTCGTTTTTTCTTTTCGTTACCGTCACCTGGATTGTAGAAGGGCTAGGTCTCTCTTCCGTTCTCTGCTTCTTGGGTGGTGGAACGGTTGTCGTTATTTCTGGACCTTCTACTTCTTTTAGGCTTGAGTCCTGCAAAAAACATTTAAGGATTTCAAAATCATTTTGATTATAGTATTTTTTCACCTGGTCGGGACTTGCTTTACGGATTTCCCCTCTCTCGTTCTTAAGGTACAATACGACACCCTTGATTTCCTGAATTACATATTGGCCTTCAAATTTTGGAGCTAACTTTGCAGTAAAATTGTCTGGGGCACTTGATAAAGAAAATTTCCGCTTCAATACTTTATCCCCAACTTTAAAATCTGCTTCACGGCGATTTCTATCGTAATATATTTTTTTTCTTATTTCTTGCCGTATCCGAGCTTTTAAGCGCCTGATCAATAAGTTTTTGCACATCTTTCTGTTTAAACTCTTGCTCTCTTTGTTGCACAAAGAATAATTTATCTAAAGGCGTAATTAACTTTCGGCCTAAAAATAATTCTGCGGGGGTTTTTCTCGTAGTATCGTGATTTGCCGTTCTTAAAGCATAAGCTAATTCATTTATGTAGCCATCCCAGCGCTTGTGATGTGTGCTAACGTAACTGCGAATTATTTTTACAATGTTTTTATTCACTCTTTCTGCTATGTTTGCCTGTGGTCTATACGGAACCATTTTGATATGGCGTATGCCAAGTCCAGTGCATATGTTTTCAAATAGTTGACTAATGAATTGTTTTCCGTTATCGCTAATGCCATTTATCGGTTTACCGTATTTTAAAATGTATCTGTGTAAGAATGCATCTGCGACTGTTTTGGCTGACGCGCGTTTAAGTGCAACAATTTCTGTCCATTTTGAAAAATGATCTACTATTACTAAAAGAAAACGATTTTTATTTAACTCGCTCTGGGGGAAGGGACCAAGAAGATCTATGCCTAAAATTTCATTCGGAAATGTAGCGCGAATGCTATTTAAGTACCCGGCCGGGCTGTAATTAATATCATTTATTAACTGACATTGATTGCAGGACCTGACATACGCAGTTACTATTTTGTATAATTGCGAGAAATATACCGCCTCGCGTACCCTTTTTAAAGTCTTTCTGACCCCTAAATGACCCGCTGTTTTCGCGTCGTGTAATTCCTTCAAAATGCTTAATCGAAGCGAGGCTGGGATGACTGGTTTGTACTCGAGATTTTCGTTTGTTGTTTTCGTATAAAATAATAAATTATCTATTATTTCATAGTTTTCTGCTCTATTTCTTATCGCATCGATATCTGTGTGCTCAAAGCTTTCGGGGTCTTTCAAATACGCATAGATATTTCCAAATTCAGGATCAGCTT